GGAAGGAAGGAAGGAAGGAAGGAAGGAAGGAAGGAAGGAAGGAAAAATAAATGGAAAAAGAAAAAAGAAAGACAGGGAGGGAGGGAGGGAAGAAAGAAAAGAAAGCAAAGGAAGGAAAAGGAAGCAAAATAAGGAGAAGGGAATGGGGAAAGAAAGAAAAAAGAAAGAGAAAAATAGATTAAAAAAGAAGGAAGGAAGGAAGGAAGGAAGGAAGGAAGGAAGGAAGGAAGGAAGGAAGGAAGGAAAATATGGAAGGAAGGAAGGAGAAATAAATAAATAGAGAGAGAGGGAGAAAGAAAAAAGAAAAAATGAAAGAAAGAGGGAGGGAGGGAGGAAAGAAAATATGGAAGGAAGGAAGGAGAAAGAGAAAGAAATAGAGAGAGAGAAAGAAAGAAAAAAGAAAGAATGAATGAATGAAAGAGGAAGGAAGGAAGGAAGGAAAAGAGGGAGGGTGGAAGAGTGGGAAGAGGAAGACAGAAGAATGAGAGAAAGAAAGAAAGAAAGAAAGAAAGAAAATAAAATAAAATAAAAAACAAATCAGCCCCAAAGTTTAGCTCCTGTTCAGCTCCTGAAATTTGTCCCCATAAGCCAGAGAACCAGTCCGTTCACCTGCCGCTGAGCTTCGGGGCGAGAGTCGAAGCTGGGCGAGACCAGACGGTGGTGGTGGGCCTGAGGCTGTTCGGGGTGGGAGGTCCGCCCTCCGTTCCCCCCACCTCTGAACCTCCCGTGGCTGCTCACCGGCACCCAGGAAGGGCCACGGCACCAGGCGAAGCTAACTGACAAATGCTGGAAGAGCCCAGGTGCTTAGAAGACGGTTGAGCCCTTCCTACAACGTGCAATCATCCAGGCGGGAGGGAGCCCTGGAGGTCATTTAGTCCAACCCTCTGCTCGGTGCACGGTTTTCAACGACGGAAGTGAGCTCCGACCAATGGTGACTCACCTCCCGGATCCTCCAAGTCTCCGCCTTCGCACGGGGCAGCCATGTTCGATCCCTTTTCCAGACAGAAAGGCAATCCTTCAACTTACGATCACCTTTTTTCCCGTGGCTCAACAAGGCGGTCGTTAAGCGAGTCCACCTGATTTTTTTTTATGACCCATTGCGGTTAAGCGAAGTCACGTGGTCAGCTGGGAGGGGAGACGGGCAGCCTAAACATTTAATCATCTAAACATTTAATGTGTAAACAGCCGATCATCAGGAGGAGGGGGAAAAAGAAATACTTTAAGGAGTGAGTGACTGGGCAGGGGACAACGCAGTCAGCGATGCTGGACATGCGTGCGATGTCGTGCATACATGATAAGGATGCACGGGGAGGGGAGGGGAGGGCTGGGCAGGGCCAGCCAGGGGGTACGATCTGCCGGTTCTCCGAAGTCCACAGAATCATAACAACCGGTTCTATAGAACCAGTCCAAACCGGTCGAATCCCACTCTCCCTGCATGAAACTGACTTTCAGGGTTTAAATCTCAGTCGGAAAAACCTGGTTTTATCCTCTTGGGCATATCCTTGATTTGCATCATGGCAAAATCTAATAAACGGGCCTGATTTTATTTTTAATTTTAATTTTTTTTAAAAAAATCCTCAAAAAAATGCGGCTCGGACTTTTGAGGACTGGGTGTGAAATGCTCTACTTTTCAGGACCTAGGACTGGTTGAACCCGGAGCCATCGGGAACCCAGTGCTGGGGAAATCGGTTATTGATTCCATCTGTTAACTTATTCCAGGTAGTCCTCAACATACGACCACGGTTCAGTCCAAAATTTAGGTTGCTAAGGGAGACATTTGTGAGTTTGTCCCACTTTACGACATTCCTTGCTGCAGTGGTTAAGTGAATCCAGCTTTCCCATTGATTTGGATTGTCAGGAAGTCGCAAAATGGGATCGCGTGGCCCTGGGACTCTGCAACCGTTATAAATGTGAGTTGGTTGCCTAGCATCCAAATGTAAATCACGTGACCTGACTGTGGTTTCTTCCCCAAACCCCAAAAACTTTAACCTTAGACTGTCTACTATGGACCTCACCCCTTTCCTAAGAGGTCTGTAGGGGACGTGCATAAGTGCACCAATCGTGCCTGCCGTCCCTGTCCTATTGTTTCTTTAATTTTTCTTATAGGTATCCATGTATTCATAACTATGTTTTTACTTATATCTATTATCTTGTAAGCAATTGACAAATAAAAAATAATAAATAAATTTGCCGGTTCTCTGAACTCCTCAAAATTTCTGCTACCAGTTCTCCAGAACTGGTCAGAACCTGCTGAATTCACTTCTGATGTCGGGGTGTGCGAGGCCTGGCTACAACTGTCCAAAGGTAAGTATTGGGGCATCCCCACATTAGCTTAATGTTTATCTGTGCACTCTGGAGTCAGCAGGATCTTAATTAGGGCTTATTTTGGGATAGGGCTTATATTGGGTGCAGGTGTAAAAAAAATCAAGCTAGGACTTTACTTTCAGGGTAGGGCTTATTTTTGGAGAAACAGGGTAGCAGGGATGATTAAAAGCCAAGTCCAGGAAGCCAGCAGGGCGGGCCCCTGAAGAATTAATCGAGGCCATACCTTTGATTTTATGTTCTTCTTTCTTCTTCCCACTCCAGCATATGATTTTAACAACATTAAATCAGGTTTAATTGAAGGTTTCTGGCTCGAAGATGGCCAAGAGGCGATCTATCTCTCTTCACCTGTTGTGTTTTAAAGAGCAAGCCTTTAATCCCAGCCAGATTCTGGGTGAATCAACCATGGTTTTCTTTTCCAAATTCTGCCCGACACAACTGGGATTTAATCTTGGGTTTTAGCCATATTCGTATGGCTTTCTTTGACTTTGTCAAGCCTTGTTTGGGAGTTGGAATGCAGCCAGATAAAGAACCCTCCGGGAGTTTGGACTACAACAGAGATTAACAGAGATGAACAGAGTTGGAAGGGACCTTGTAGGTCATCTAGTCCAACCCCCCTCCCTGCCCAAGCAGGAGACCCTGCACCATTTTTGACAAATGGCAGTCCAGTCTCTTCTTGAAACCCTCCAGGGATGAAGCTCCCGCAATCTCCATCAGTAACAAGATCCATCATTAACAGGTTAACAAAGAGTTGGAAGGGACCTTGTAGGTCATCTAGTCCAACCCCCGCCCAAGCAGGAGATTGTACACAATCATCCTGAGCAGAGCAACACATCTGGTTGGTGTGCATCCTGAGAAGAAAAATAAGAAAAAAAATTGGAGGAAGATACAGGTAGTTCTCAACTTACAACAATTCATTTAGTGACCATTCAAAATTAGCATGCCACAGAAAAAGTGACCTATTCTATTCTATTCTATTCTATTCTATTTTCTATTCTGTGTTCTCTATTTTCTATTCTATTCTTTTTCTATTCTATTCTATTCTCTATTCTATTCTTTATTCTATTTTCTATTCTATTCTATTCTCTATTCTGTTCTCTTCTATTGTCTATTCTTTATTCTATTCTATACCCTATTTTTTATTCTGTTCTGTTCCACTCTATTCTCCATTCTGTTCTATTCTATTCTATTCTGTTCTATTCCCTATTTTTTATTATGTTCTGTTCTGTTCCACTCTATTTTCTATTCTATTCTATTTTATTCTATTCTCTGTTTTTTATTCAGCTCTATTCTGTTCTGTTTCATTTTAAAAGCACAACTACAATGACATGGGAAAATACCCAAACAAAACTGAATACCATACATATATATATATAAAATAAAGAGCACAATGGGTTAAAGAAACTTGCCGTGAATTATACCTTACAAGACCAGGGTTATAACCAGCCAAGATTTGTGTGTTTCCTGCAGGCGGCTGCTGAGTCGATGGAATTGGCATTAAAAAAAAATCCATTTGCATCACCTGCTGGTATAAAATTGCTGTTTAGACAACCTGTGAATTTGCCTCTTTATAGTTACCTGGTCCTACTCAACTGGCTGTCTGCAAAGGACTTCCCCAGCTGGCACCTGCTGGGCTTTAAATGCAGGTCGATAGGGGATGATGGGCATTGTTATCCATCCCAGCCTGAGGTCGACAGACAGGGAAAGGCACCTAAAAATCTAGGTATATCTGAAATGTTTTGGAAGGTAGAAATGTGAAAAATATCTGGAAAGATCCTATTGCAATTTCCAAAATGGAGGAACTTGTGAATATTAGGCCTTCCTGGGGTTAAGAGGAGTGAATTGATATTTTGGGTGCCTTTCGGGTTCATCCTGTCACCATATCAGTTAAACATACCTAATAATTCCATTATTCAATTTCCTCCCTGTTTTCATTTCATTTTATTTTTTTAAATAAAAAATTCTCATTTGGCAAGCAGTATGGTTCCAGGTTTCACATCTCAATACAAACATGACCATAGTTACCTATTCATTTTATTTGTTTAATTTCGTATTACGTCATCCTTATCATTATTAAATATTAAGCTTATCTTATCCAATCCCAATTCATGTTCTCTTATCTTATTTTACAATATTATCTAAAATTCTCATCTCAATTCTATGTTCATTTATTCAATTCCAAATCCTAATATATCTCCTTCCATTTTTCTTAGTATATTCTCATATCTTATTTTTCAATGCTATTTAAAATTCTCATCTCCTTTCTATTGTCATTTCTCATATTATTTTTTTCTTTCACATTTGTCATTTTATCAATCCTTATCTGTAAATATAATTGTCCCCTCTAGTTAATAATTCGAGCTAATCACCTTCACTGTTCCTTAATATCAATCTCCCTATCTAGTATAAAAACACAAATATATATATTTTACGTTACAAAATACTATTTTCAATATATTCTTATACATCCCAACACATTGCCTTGCGAAATCCCCTTCCTTATTCCTTTTTTTCCACCCATTATCTCTCACTCTTTGAATAGTGTACCTTCTTTTCATCCTTGTTTGTTTCCTGTTTCTCTTTATTTTCTGGTCCTTTCTCTTAATTCCCTTTCCCCCCACCCCATTCTTATTCCCTTCCTTTTCTCATTCCAGTTATTAAACTTTTCTCTCTCCCTCTTTTTATTTTCCTTTCGCATTTCCTTTTTCTGCTTTTTCCTTCTCTCTTTAGCCGTTTTCCGAGCCATTCTCCCTTTTATCATCCCATCAGACCACAAATTTTTAATTCTAATTCCTTTCCCCCCCCGCTTAAATAAATGTTGTTCATTTTGTCCTTCTAAGTTGGCTTCTTCTTTATCAAACTCCTCCTCCTCTGGTTTATTATGTTTTTGTGTATGCTGAGTCACCATTTCTAATTTCTGTAGTACATAATTACACATTTCAAGTTTGATTTTTATCATGTCCCTTGTATCTTGCATATCCGAGCTTATATCTTGTGAGTCCAGTCTTATGTCAACAAGTAGTTCCTCCATCATATCTTCTCCTTTTTTCTTTTTCCTTCCTCTTCCTTAATAGCTGAAATCCTCTTCTTTCGTAGATATATTCAATCTCAGAGTCCAGTATATTATTTCAACCAATATATTTTGAGTTTATTTTCAACAATTTATACTCTTGAGTCTTTATTCCGAATCCTCTAATTGGCCTCTCAACTGTTTCCCAAATTACTGGCAATCGTAAAGTTCCTTTTATTTTCTTTCAAATTCCAAAATCCAAAGTCTCAAAAAGACCAGACATTCATTTTAAAACATACTAAAATTTTCCTGTACCATCAGGTGGAGCTCTTGAGTCTTTTTCTTTTTAACTTTCTTTCTTGAATATAATATTTAAGATTGCTAATTTCAATCATTAGCTATTCTTTTCAACAAACTCAATTCTAGCATTTGGTTATGCCCTTTAAGTGCCCACAGTTCAATATCTGTCCAGTTTAATTTTTAAACCTTTGTTGTGTTAATGAATTTTCCTTTAAATTTCTCCTCCAGATTAGTCCTATAGAATAGTCAAATCCAAATTTAAAGACCCATTTTCTTTCTCACTTTCTCTGGTCGCCGCTTTCACACACCTTCCTCCAAAATAGCCCTTTAATTTGATACCAGGATACCTCA